AAAGATGATCCATTAAAATTGAACATGATTTAAAATCAGTTCAAAAAAGGATACAATTTGTTTGACAATTTCAGAAGGACTCTTGAGGTCAATAAGACGTTTGTGGATTCTCATCTCATATCTGGACCAGGTTTTGGAACCTTCACCACATGGTGTTTTCCTTGATGTGATCCTCAAAGTTTTTGTTGGGAGACGAACAGGTCCTTTCACAGCAAGCTTGTTGCTTTTTGCTCCTTTGATGAGATCAGCACAAACCTTTTCTAAACTGCGAACATTTCTGCTTGTGAGTGTGATCCTGATACGATGGATGGGTGCATCCTCAAAGGGAGCTTGCTTTTCCTTGTATGCTGCTGCCTATATCATAAATTAATATTTATTAACATAAAATCAACTTGAATTTGCTTCAATAGACATTAAATAATACATTGTATATACAATAAAAGAACAGTGAAATACTAGATGTCTTTATGTCTAGCAACTGATCAAGCAAGCACAATATTACTTTAAGAAAGAATGTATATTTTCATGCACTGTGTAATTCTACTGAAACTGACAACATTCCAGCCCTATTTGAAAGTTAGATATATAATTGTAAATAGTTGTATTCAGAAGCAATATAAGTTGAAATTAGGGGTTTCAAATTCAGTGGCGCTCATTACTCCTTTAAAGGTCTTTTCTCTGTACTCCTCTTTTCTGTACAAATGAAGCCTCCAACTTATGATATACCGACCTTTACAGAGATAATTCAAGTTGTTCAAATTACAAATAAAAGAACTTAAACGGACCCCAAGCACATTTTTAATATGAAGCAAGAAGGGAAAACACTGTAGGTCCGGTGCTTTGGAGAACCTTACGTTTCGTTTTCACTAAGCCAGACACAAATGAACATTAAGCTAAACTCGCTTAATCTCCACTTTTAATAAGAGCAGGAAACTCTTCTAAACAATCAGGGTAGGCCTATTTCATAGAAAAATTGGCTTTCTAGCATTCAAGGTAAAAAATACTATGCTTCCAGGGAACATATCCTTAGCAATGTGATTAATAGGCTAATATATCATACCATTATTGATGAAAGGCCGACTTGCTTAGTACTCTCAACAAATTAGTGCACTCAAATGAGAGTGTATCGAGACTTTGCAGCGGTGAGCCTATACCTTCTGATTGTACGAAGAGGACTAATGTCGGCCTCGAAGATTCACAAGGCACATGTCTACTCCCATGATGCCTTGCTGAGCCTCTCTCTGACGCCGGACGCGGTATTCGGAAAAAAATTATTAATGGCGGCCAATAGTGGTTGAAGCTGTGAAAAAGTACTATTGAAAGAAATTCCAGGTTATCATCATTAGATGGGGGATCGCGTGATTTGAATTAAAAGAGCTTCCTTGGTTTTTTATACGTGAATAGTATTTTTATTAAGACATAAACTAAGTAGGAATTGACCATACAAAAGTCAAAATTCTGCTGTTGAGCTTTCAAAAATCAAAATATGAATCAACAAATCGGAGTCCAACAATCGCTTACAAATGAAATGAACTTAATACCTATGGTGCTAGAACTTGTAGAAATGATACCAAGCTGCTTAGATCAACAGCAAGATATCACTAGAAGGGTATGAATGAGTTTCTTTAGTACATATTGGCCAAGTTTATGTTCTTAATTCAACTGTGTGAAATCTATTGTTTATCAAATGAGTCCAGATTGTACTTTCAATTGTTTGAATGTAAAAGACACTCACAAAATGGCGTGAAACTTAAATTTTACTTAGAAAGGCTGTCAGTATGTAAAGCTTGGTTTGTATATACAAAGCCACGCTTCTTGGTGTAACCAGGGTTCTTCAAATGGTGAAGATGTACAAAAGCAAGAGTCAAATTTTTAGAAAATCTGCACTTGTTTTAAGAGTTGATATTTTACTTCATAATCTGGTACTTTTTGGCTTCTCCATAGAATGTTTTATTTAATATTCCTACTAAAGATGATTTAGAGGTGTGAAATCGAGTACCTTGTACTTCTTCAGGGTTTGTTTTATTGATTACATTTCTTATAATCAGGGAAAGGGCTGCAGATTATGCAAGACAGTGAGGGAGTAGGGTATTTTTTAAAAAGCAAATTATATCAAGGACACCATAACCATAAATATCAACTCTTTCAAGATATTGTGTTTAACTTTGGAAAAGCAGCAACCTCAATGACATGATTTAACCAAACTCCAGCATAATAATTTATATTCATATTTCGATAGCTTCAAGCTTTTTAAATGAATGGAAGTGTTCTAGTTACTTCAGCTTGTTCCAATTAAAACACAAACCGACTTGGATCTGTACCCCTTTTTGTTGTTTTCTTTACATTAAACTGAACCCCGGATGAATTTGTGGTCATTCAGATCTGTACCAGTATACAAGGGGTCAAAATAAGGCATGGGAGCTTGTCGCTTTTGTTTAGACATTGTTATTTTATTGACAAGCATCTTTCCTCATCAGACTGAATAAAATTCACAGAACACACTATTTGTGGTTTTTACTTTCAAGCAGTCTGGCCAGACTTTTAGAATTCCACACAAATTTCTTCAAATATAGAAATCCTCTTTTGTAGCAGTTTTAAATCTATAGTGTATGACACCAATTTTTGTGTAGATGGATAGAATGTGGGAATGTTAGTGTTAAGGTTTTTAGAGCCTTCTTCTAAGTTCAGATTTCATTTTTCATTCAGATTGCTGTTTTTCGTTCAAAGCTTAGTTTTAAATCCTCTTTTATTCTTTCGCTCTTTCGCTCAAATTCTCTTTTGTAGCAGTTTTGAATTTATAGTGTATGACACCATATTTTCTGTAGATGAATAGAATGTGGGAATGTTAGTGTTAGGATTTTTACAGCCTTTTTCTAAGTGCAGATTTCATTTTTAATTCAGGTTGCTGTTTTTCGCTCAAAGCTCCAATCATGTCGAGAGATGCTTAGCAAACAACCAGGCTTAGAAACAAATGTAGAGGAACAAGACAGAGAATTGAATACATTACAATTGCAGTTAAAACAAAAACAGTAAGTATCTGTTGCCTCATTTGCATTAATACAAAAGGTAGCCCAAGACTTTTTGCCTTTGAATATTCAACCTGTGGGTATCAATGCCACTTGATATTGTTTGATTTTACACCAGTGTGCTTTTAAACATCAATGTGTTTTAAAGCTAATATGATCTAATATCATCTAATTACTGACAGAACATAATTTGATTTCTGGATTAACCGATCTCTTTTACATCCTTTTAGAGAGCTTCTTGAGAAATTCAGTACTCTTGAAATGGTTACTTCGAATTCAACTGGCAAAGATACAAGCAGATCATCTCTCTATTGACTTTGCAACTTTAAATTCATCAGCAGAGACATCCTTAGATTTGTTCTAGCTAGAAATGCTGCCATTTTACTAAGAATAAAAGGTCCTTGTTCATTAAAATACTTACAGGTAACTTAAGCAAGCTTACAGACAACTTAAGAAAAATGAACAGACTGATTACCATAAAAGTCATTTCAATCATATCAGCATTGTAGTAAATCTCTAAAATGGAGAACCTTGAGAATTTAAAAACATACAGTAGGCTTTTTTGTTTGATAAGAGTGATTACTTACGTTTGCTCGCACAAAAGAGTCACAAGCACTTGGCAATATGCATGGGCATTTCCTTACAAAAGGCCTCCTAGAGGATAGTTTTCTCTGATAAGGGAAACCAGAATGACCAAGGGGCAAAGGGACAGGCTCTACCTAGTAGAAGGGCATTTGAACAATAATTCCCTGCTACTAACCATTCTTTTGTAACTGTCATTTTGTTTTCTTACCTGAAGGTTTCTTGAAAATGGGCATAAGAAATTTCTTTACAAGTTTTAAGAAATGCCATCATGAGAATGTTTTGAGAAATGCCCCAGTACAATCAGAATTTCATATGAATTGTTTGATTGTTACAAAAGACCGATGTCAGGGGAACTTCTATGAAAAGGCACTTTTATCCCCTTGCTCATTCCTATCAAAGGCAACAGGGGTGGTTGACCCCTGCACCCCCTCTCTGATGTCCTTGTGTCTGATTAAGCACTTAACCATCTATTATTATGACATTTCAATTGCCAAGTATCACTGATCAAGTTTGTCACCAGAACCCATTTACCCTGCGATTCCCAAACACACCTTACTGTCTAGCAATACCCTAGCACTGTCTTACTCTTGAGAAAGTAGGTTTCTTTTTGGGAGATTAACTTAATGTACCAAAGAATTTTGAAAGCACAAAATCAGTGCTGCTGGTGATTGGCATATTCTGTAAAAATATTTCATTGTAATGAAAAGGTTTATCCATGCATCAACTTGTTAATTTTTATTAAGATTAGCTCTGGGATACTTACTTAAGTCTTTGGAGTGAAAGACCACTCATTTTCACTATGAATAGGTTAAATGAGACATTTTTATTGAACATTCCTATCGGAAACTTTTCAGTTTTAAGATCAAAATTGTTGCCAAAGTTTTGTAAATGGCTTTGAAAGTTGTCCAAGTTTTGATGAACCTGTTTACAATGCTGTCACCATTACTTATTTTTCAAACCAGTGCATTACCTCTGTAAATGTATATGTTATCCAATTATCATATACAGTTATCCAATTTTCCTGATGGAAGTTTATGGAAGAACTATGTGTCAATCCCACAAGATGCAACATAAAAAGCAAGAAATTTAAAGAAATAGTAGTAACAGACTTGTCCAACCAGAAGAACAGGAAATGATGGTAAATAATTAAGGAAATTTATGAATTAACTGTCTGCAAAAGATAGAAAATGTTAAACTATCTAAGCTGGAGAAAGCTTGCAAAACAGATGCAGGTTGTGTACAAGATCTCTGTGAGAGTTCTGTTGCAACCCAATATAAAGTTCCAAACTTCCTTTTCAGTATTCTTTACTTTGTTAATTTATAAATTCAGAGTAAAAACAAATTAGTAAGAAGGATTGAGAAAAACAACAAGGTTCAAAACGAGCTCAATTATGATGAATGCTCTCAAACAAACTTGCTACATTTGCAATAACTGTTGCAATAAATATAACGATTCTAGGTCAAAATTTCACTATTAACAAATTACAGCCATGATTTGAAGTACATAAAATTACCAGTAGTTAGACAAAACATGGTAAAATAGTTACACATCAAATATACAAATTATATACACAAACGCCCTGTGATGAGTACTTCTTGAAATCTAAAGCAACCAACAGCACTAGAACAAAATAGGTGGTAAAATTGAAAGGGGTTCTTATTATAATGATATGCACGGTAAGGTATGTCTTGAAGTGGCAATAAACGTTTAGTTTTTTGTGCAAATAATCAAGATTATGTTTCTACCTCAGCTGACAAAACTGGTGCTGTTATGTTAAAGAATACCAAATGTTCTAGAAAATAGGGGCAAAGATACAGCAGGAAATTAAGTTAATTTTTTATTAATTCGAGGGACAAAAATGACAATTGAAAACTGCTTGTATAAAAATAAATATTTGATGTATTTTTTTCAAGGAGGAGGGTATGAAGAACTTTAAACAATTTCCCCACACAAAAAACTAACAGAATACCAGGAAAACAAATGCAACTGCTTTTAATGTTGTAGTGTCCACATACATTCAAAAGTTTTTACACAAGAAACAACCAGTAAAAAAGTTCATAACATCAACTAAAGACTAAGAATATGATCACAAATAGAAATCAGACTTCAATACCAGACTTAAATGGAAAACATTATAAAGTGGGGTAAAGGATTTGTGACAACTAACATGACTAGAGGAAAAATAAATTAATATATTATTATATCATTTATATTAACATGTGAACGAGTTACCAATACACTTCTCACACATATATTATTCATTAATTAATATATGGATAGTGTAATTTATATGATTCCTGATAAACTTTGTTGCACATAAATACTGACTTTTCAAAACAGTTTGCTTATTAACCCCTGAAAGATCACTGAAAATTGTCTAACACAGTGGGTTATGCTGGCAACAGAATACAATCATTCATTTTGAAATGCAAAATTCAAATTTAAGGAAACTTGGTAGGGTAATTTTGTTTCAACTTTGATGAAAAAGGTTTATAACATGTTTTAGAAAAAATTTGGGTAAGTCAATCTCACAAGATTGCTTTAGGGAATCTCCTTTTTATGCTGTTAGTACTACAATAAAGCAGACAAAAGATAAAATAGATGACAAAGCTACATAAAAAAGTGTCTGTACTCATCATTATCATATATGAAAGGACGTGTCCTGCATCATTTGCTAGAAAAATCTTGGCTGAGACTACCAGCATCATATTCATAGAACATCTAAAATAGAAGAAAATTACATCAAATTTTTATATCCTCTAAATAACAAAGTATTGACTAAACCAAGAGCTTAAAGATAACAAGGTTTACAGATCGAGTTTTAATTTTCTCAATAAAAATCATTGCCATAGCAGCTACTCATGAATCTGGAATAAACAGGGTGTGTGGAAAATTTCAAAAATCCCAATAAACGAAGGGGTCTAGAATAAATGCGCTGGCATGAAAATTTCCAAAATCCCAAAAAATGTGCTGACATCGACCATGGACTCATTTAAGACACTCTTATCGACAGTATAGTAATATTTTAAACTAATCCCTTTTTGTTGATTAATCACAAATTTCTTTCTTTTTTATAGATACTTTAGGCCCCTGCATGTGAGCTCAGTAACCACCAACCCCATACTTTTTTCCTAAATCAACACAACCAAGTTTTGTCAAACGGCTGTACAGACAGTGGCCAATCCTATTTCATCAGCAAAGCCCTCAATATTGAGGTTGCTATTTAACCTATATAAATGCAAATGTAAAAATGAAAATTTACAAAATCGCAATAAATTGATGTCTGGGATAAATATGCTGGAATGAAAATTTCCAAAAAAATATCATAATAAATTGGTGGAATTACTTGCAGTCAGAATACAGAACAGTGGATTTTAACCAATTAACAATTTGCATGAACAGGGATGCTTACAGTTATCGTCTCTAGCTGGCATTGGCAATTCACAATAAGGGTGTACAGGAAATTGGTGTGGGCTGGTTTTAGGACCATTTTCCAACAATTGTCAGTTTATTATGGTACGTTAGTTTGTGCAGGAACTAGGCTGTTTGCATGAACAGAACCAACCAAAATGGGAATTGCTTGTTTTCAGTTGTTGATAAGGGTAAATAAAGTTTTTTAATCAGTTTTCACATTTTACAAAATACCACCTTGAAACTTCGCATTTTCACATGATTCAAAATTTTCTCATATTACAATAAGCCCAAGATTATGGTTTCTTGAAAGTTTCTTGTTCTTTGCTTTCATAGACCAAGCAGAGAATGGCGGTAGTCTCCCTCTTTGGGTAAGTAAGTTTAATAAGGCTGGTTTGGGTAATTTTTTGGGGTTGCTGATTCTGAAAACTGATGTTATACAGGTAGATTGAAATCTTCAGCCTCTAATTTATGTCAACATTTCCTTTGTAATCAAAGTATACGCAATTGCATTACAAGGATTCACCCTCCAGAAAATTCTCTCAAATTAAGTGGACTTGAGCAATTTTGAGATGCAGTTTTCGAAAATCAACAACATTATGGTGGAGAAAGGGCTTGCTTGGCCACAGTTCCATATCAAAATCTTGTTTTTATGTAAAACTGGTGAGAAACCTCCTAATAAAAAAATTCTGCCAAATTCGGCAGAGGATGGCAATTGTGGTGTACTAACTCTAAAAAAATAAATGTTGTAAGGACCTTTTTGGAGTGTTTTGGTTCTACCTCAGCTCAAAATCATGTATTAAAGCAGTGTACATGTTAATGATGTCTACATCAAACCATTTTCACTATCATTGCTTCTGTTAGAACGTTCGCATCATCATCATCATCATCATCATCATCATCATCATCATCATCATCATCATCATCATCATCATCATCATCATCATCATCATCATCATCATCATCATCATCATCACTATTAACAATTTCATAAGTAAAAAGTAAAAAGGTAAGGAACCTTCCTTTTTGCATTCGTTTTGAGATAGAGCTAACTCAAACTTCTTTCTTCTTTTTCGCAGCCTTTGATGCTTGTACCTTTGTAGGTGTGGCATGGAATACATACATGCCACAAGTGTGGCATGGTGCCTTTACAAAGAGGGAGCCATTGCTAAGTTCTTTAAACCCAAGTCATTTATAGTCATTGAGCTAACGAGACTAAGAATATCAGTTGAAGATCTACAAAAGTGTAATTTCGAGTAGGTTGCGTCATTGTTTCACCACTTCTAAGTCTCATCGTAGCCCGAATAATTCCTCAAACTGTCTTTCTCATGGTACCATCTGCTGTCTTTAGAGGTTTCAAAACTGAGGCACGAAGGAAAGAAACGATGTTTTGGAGATCTATTCCCGCTTCATGCTTATTATAATATGCTAACAACATTGCTAGAATTAATCGCTGAAAGACAAGTTGCTTCGTTTTTTGCTTTACTAAATATACCCTTAATGGTGCTGTCTTAAAATGTCTTTAGTGGTCCCGTTTGGTGGGTCGAAGAATTTAGCTGCAGAAGTGTCTTTTATTCTTTCCTCAAATTCACTCATTAATTATGTGCCTCTTCCTTCGATTTCAACAAATAACTACTAACATTTTCATTCCCTTGGCAGCCTGAAACCAAATCATAAAGCTTCGTGCAATCTATGATGGGTAAAAAGGCATTTATAAGCATTTGTCCAGCTCTGTGCGAACTCCAATAGGTCCTTACAACCTTGACTTTTAGAATCAGAGCAGCATAATTTCCCTTTTCCCCAAAAAATAATCCAAAGTTTCTTAATTAGGACAACTCTTATCAAGACATTTTTGTCTGTTTTGCATGAAAGATACATAGAAATGCAACCAAACAACCTCTTATACGTCCTTAAATTTTAATTTTCGAAATCAGCATCCGAATTTGCCATATCTAAGGAATTTGAGATACTTTTCCACATGCATTAAATAAAGGCTGAAGGCTCCCAACCAGCCAGTATGACATCGATTTTTTGAAACAGCATCTCAAAACGTCCCAAACTCATCTAATTGAACTTTCTTCCCCGAAGGGAGACCCTGTCCCATTCTGCACATGGTCTGTCTCTTTTCACTATATTGGTCCTTCAACGGTATTCTTTGGTAACCCCGAGTGGAAGAATCATTGCAAAAATTTATATTCCCAGAAAGGTGTAGAAATTGAGAGTTCCAGATCAAAATCTATTGAGCCCAGTAATTTCAACACATTATAATTTAAAATTAAACCAAGTTTATGGAATTCTACGCGTCTAGTTGTTATCATATGCAATTTTGGTCAAGAGCCTCCATTCTGATAATGAAAGCCTTGCGATTCCTGAAAATCTACAAAACTAACCTCGGTCTTCAAGTCTTTGTGACGGGCCCCAGATTCTGATAGTGCCGTCATCACTTGCTGACGCTAGCATACTAGGGATCTTTGGATTCCAGTGAACACAATTTACTGTTCTTGAATGACCTTTCAGTGTTGCAATTGGTCTTCCTTCCAGCCGCTGGTGCCAAATATACACATCATTGTCTGCACATAAAAGGTATGTTTGCTAGAAACATGGCAACAACTGACAAAAACAAAAGACATAGTAAAGACGTAGGATTCAGCGACAAAAATTGTAACTTAGTAGAGAGAGAATCAAGCAAAAAAATTTAAATTTTGTTTTTAGATGAAATGTGTTTTCCTTGAAATTTCAGATGTCAAAAGAGGTAAAGTACTTCCAGTTTCGAATCTGATATGAAAGAATGTGACGGGGAGAATGGTATTTGTTTGCAGATAATTTTTGCTGTATGGTCATTTTCAGGTTTTTGTTTTTCCTCATCATCAACAAATAAAATCCCGATCTCAAAATTACTTCCCGCTCCCTCGGCCCCTACTTCCAAGTAATTAACGCTCTCTGTTAATCGCACTAATGCCTCTAATGGCCCTTCATTATTTCTCTTAATTATTTTCCAACGTTCCAGCAGTTTCAGTTTTGGTGCCTTAATTCTTAAATCAGCGTTAAATTTCAGCACCAATGCGTATATGCATAAGAATGGTGGAAAACACGATAAGTGTCTGTAGAATTTTACATTATTCCCAACCAACTGTGAATTTTTTGACGATAAAGACTTCAAGTAAATTTAGATTTTGCCTTAGGCCTACTCCTCCATTCCCTTTATTATCTTATTCGCGATATTTTCAATATTCATATATTGTTATTAATAACTGCATTCAAGATAATTATATGTTTAAGACAGAAACAAATAATTCTAAGTATTCCAGTTCTTTATTCGCTAATTTTTTTCTTTTCATGGAAACTGTTTAAACAGTAACCGAAATTTACACCGAAATTAAAAAAACATCACTGAAACTTTTTCCACTGAAAATTAATTTATCGAAATTTTTGGCACCTGGCTTTTTTAACTTCATGCAGACAACTACCAAAACAGGGGGCTATTGCAGCAAATATTTCACAGAAATTCATCTGACAAGCTGGGGGTTTCTTTCACCAGACATTTCTCCACAGTACCCGCTGTTTGTTTGATTACGACTTTCGCAACGCTGATTGTTTGATTACGACTAACCCACTTGGTTATGAGCCTAAATTCAACTAATCACACCTTCACTCCCGCTTGCAATAAAATCTTCATTGACACCTCCGAAACACGAGTGGATCATATAGTAGCCTTGTGTAACTCCACGGAACTTTCTAACTAAAGCTTTGTCTTTGATGTCCCATAGATTTATACCCTGAAAAGAATTAAAAAAATGGAAATCAGTTACTATACTCTATATCTACTCACAAGCTTTTTGCTCAACTTTGCAAAACATATAAAGTATTATTCTCAAAAGTCCATGCAAATAATAGTGTGTTGGTTTGTAATAAAAAAATAAAAAAATTGCCAAAATTACATGTTCAAAAAACATTTTTTGGTATTGCCGGGTGTATCAGTATCTGATTGCACAGCACGATCAAAAACAGAAAATCTTAAGATATGTTGAATAGTAAAGTATAAAGATAGGTTGCATAGAGGTTAGATACAAGGTCGAATCAGTGAACGACACGGACACGTACACGGACATGTACACGAAAATTGACAAGATTGATCCTTTCTTTTAGGTTTGCGTAATATTTAAGTTTATGGATATGAAAAAATTGAGGAAGACAAAGCTAAATATGTTTTGAATTTATGGCTACCGCATTTCTCATCTTGTCACTAATTCAGCACTAATGGTATAAGGAATTGGAGCACTAAAAAATCTGAAAAGTGTGACCAAGAGGACAGACTTTTTCACTATTTTTGTGCTCTGCCCAATTTGAATGGTTTAAGAATGACATTATACTGTTTTTATTACAAATTACGGAAAATGAGTTCTAAGGAAGTATGCTACATTTTATAAAAACCTGCAAAATGTTACCGAAGCTTTTAAAGAGCAAAGACATTTAATCAGAAGTGCTATTGATAGCTTTCGTGTGTCTACATATTAAGGACTACAGGGCACAGCCTGGATAAACTCTATTCGGAATTTCATACTTACTTGTAGTGCAACATTGAGAATCATGTATCGGTTATTCTGTGATACATTAAATGACATTATTGAATGACTCTCGTGGATTCTAAAGAGAAACAATAATGTCATCATGGGGAATTACGTAAAATGATAAGTGAGATTACAAAAGTGGGAGTCTGTGACTACAAAGGCTGTCCAAATATAAAACAGACTTAGTTGGTAGGTCATCGCTGCTCTTAACTCATTCAAAAATCTTGTACCAAGACTCCCACTCAAATTCCTTAGTGAGCTAATATTCTTGAAAAGTGCCTACACAGGTTTAGAACAGGCAGACAGACAGGCAGGTTTAAGACACGGGCCAGGATATGCTGGATTTTTGAATCGTATTTATTGACACCATAAAAGCTCTGTTTTGTTCTTCCCTTATAAAGCTACATAAGTCGTTCAACTTTTCTGTCTGTTCAGGAGATATTTATGTTATTTTGCGATCTCTTCTTTCATCCTTTTTGAACAATTTCTGGGTTCTTTTGAGCTAATGTGAGACAAACTACAGATGTTTTAAACTTTATGTAATTACTGCGCATCCTGTGGCTACCTATGGTATCGTTTTAGCAGTTTCGTAGAGTAAGTTTGTTTGTTAGTTCGTATTTTGTGTAATTAGTATCATGCCATGTAATATATGTAAAACATGGGCCGAACACATTGAGAAAAATGACGAAATTTGTCAGCCTTGCAGGTTCATCAACTTTTTTAATAGCTTTTAATGACAATTACCCATTTTTAACAGCAAGTTCCGTATATAACAGTAGTTTAATTCTCTATTACTAGAGATTTTTCTGATATTTCGTGATATTTTGAAACTCTGAAGTGCAAAAAGTTTCTTTGCCTAAATACAATTACAAATGGCTACAAAACAAGATCTAAGCTAACATTTTCGTTAAACTGAAAAGTAAGACTTACAGCCCACTGTCTCTGTTATCTTCAAAATTGTACGTTCTCACCCTCATGTGGGTGTCTGCAGCTAAAACAGTTTCGTTGTCATCCAAAACACTGACGCCAATCACCCTGACTCCTTCCCAAGACTCAATGACATTGCCGTCCAAGTCCTTCGATCAATAACATCAAATATGTTGGTACGCAAATGCCAATATAATGCAAGTACTTATATACTAATTTCTGCCCTTGAAACCAAATTATGACCAAAATTTACAGCATTTCAGATATGATCAGAATACTTTTCAGTCGCAAATTTAAATCAACTCTTGTTATCCACTTTCAGACGCATTCTCTAACAATATAAACTTTTGGAAAATACTCAACTGATTTTTGGCGTCTTTTTTAATTTTTAGGCCATTCTAGGTATCCTCTTTTGCAAATGTTTTTCGCATAATTTGCGTGCATAATACGAGGCAATTGATTTACACCTCAACTGACAACAATAAACCAAACTGTCGGAATGAGATATACCAAAGATCGCCATGTTTCAAGAGGTAACTCTTGCAGCTGGTTTATTTGCCATAATGATTGACTGTATCTAAATTCTTGTCTAAATTCAAACAAACAAATTTCAGTGACCCAAACAGTATGCTACCAAGAGCTACTTGGTATATAACACGAACTGCTGCATTTCAAAGAAATTAGCTACCGCGAGAGATGTTTCAAAACACTCACACATTGATAAAACTGTCCTCTCATTCCACCAGTAACAAACTTCTTTCCATCAGGATACCACGCACAGCAAGTTAGACTATCTTCAGGTGAATGACTCATCCTACACTTCAGTTCCCCAGTCTGCATAACAAAAAAATTAAACGTTAATATGGCTGTGGTAGCCATTATTAAGCATGGCATTAACAGTGATGTAGCCGAAACAAATTCTGAACTTATTTTCAGCTATTTTGTCTTACTTTTGCTCTGGTAAAGGCCCGTATCCCGGGGCGAGATATCAGCCAAATTTAATTTACGTGTGTTTATTGTCGTTTTTTCTCGGCGCGTTAGGGTGTTCTATATTCGCTACATTTATATCGACTTTTCGCCGCAAGAAATCCATCAATCAGAGTCTGTCGAGCAGTTTTCTACTGTGACCTTTCTTTGTTTACACATAGTTCTTTCATAGTCTATCAGTGATATTTTTACGTGGATCACCAGAACATGAACAAAATTCAAAATGTAACAATTTAAAATTCCTGTCTTGCCATAAACCGATTAAAAAACCGTGTTATAATGAAAATCAACTAATTGTACTAGCAATACATCTTTAATATTTGTGAGTCATCACTTTGAAGTGTATATGTCAAACTGTGTTTAAATTTTTATAGGTATAAAGCTTGTTGTGCATTTAAGTCTACGAGTTGTATCTCATTTCTTTTCTGGTTCAATTGTCAATGGCAGACCTATCGTGAAGCAACAATCTTTTAACAGCTTTCAATGCGTTACATGACTCGTCAGTACCCTAGCGCAAAAACGAGGGGGGCTGTGTCCCGTGTCCCCTGCTTTTTTCTTAAATGCTGACAAGTGGAGCAGGGTCTCCTTAACCCCCACTACAACATCTCCGACAGTGAAATAAAGCCATTCTTATCCTGGAAATGATGTTTAAGAGCCAATAGACTCATGTTATTCAAATTATGAATTAAGGTGGCAAATAAGTAAATTCGATGCAGCAAAAAGGTGGATGCAGCGGTGAAATCCTTGCCTGTGTGCATGTGACCTTATCAGTTATTTCATATGGGCTGATAAGCTAATAACGCCTAAAGTCTTTATGTATTAAAAATACAAGTTTAAAATTACTGAAAGCAGCATCAAAGCAATTTTGCTAACAACAATTTATGACACTGCCAAATAAACTCCTAAAAATTGCTGCCTGTAATGAAGAGCAAACCATACCGAAAGGAGGCTCGAGAGGAGGTAAGATTGAGTTTGTTGGTTTTGGTTTGAATAAAGAAAGGCTATTATAAGAGTCTGGCAAGCAGGAAGAGGGTCAGAGATTGTGTAAAGAGCTTTGGGAAGGGTGGGCACTGGGAGAGTTTCTAGTATCAGGCACGTCTCAGGGCACTTGGGATCATATCTCTGACAGCAATGTTCGTGGTAGAATTTATAGAAACTAGAGAAATCGGTGACAATGCGACGACGAGAAAGAGACTGGAGAGACTTTGCAAAATTGAGGGGTCGAAGGGCGATGGCTTTAGATTGATTTTTTTAAAGGAAGAACAGAAAGATTTAGGTGTACCAGCCGACACATGACAACAATATCTCAAAGACGGGTTACATTCATATAATAGAATTAATGTTGATCAACAATTTCATCTTGATTCCATTGGGTGCACATCCCAAGGCTTGGTCCAAGGTTTCTACGGTCGCTTGAACTGTCTGAAATCTGCAAACCTCTCTGGTCCACTTAATCTCGCGGATTAGTATCTGGTTTCTTATTGAATAGAGATCATCTTGGCACGGTTTGCCTTTGTCTGTTGAAATTACCACACAATACTGACAATTTTGATTGAACATCGACATACGTGTTGTCTAGCCTTTGCTCAGAAGTATTTTGCAAGATTGATTATTTTGATCACAAATAATGCCGCAATCATTATTATAACTACTTTAACTTTAGGGAATATCCACAAGGTCTTATGCCAAAGTCAAGTTACAGCGCACGGCTCAGCATGACACAGCTTCACTCGAAATGACCCCGTCAAACTTGAAATCATGGTATTAATCTGAATAATTGTCAACTAATTTATTTTATAGCTTAAGACGCAGTAAATTTGAGAAAGCAAGCAATTTACGGCGAATGAGAGCCAAACAATCCGACCCGTTGGAGGAACCGACTTTTATGCATCATTAATCTATGAATGATTAGAATTTCGCATAAATTCACATGCATAAGCAACATTTTAAACATTTTTCTGAAGCACAAGAGCAAAAATTTCATTCCCAAAACCATTCAAATACTCTAGTTAAGTTACTTCCTGAGCACGCAAGGACAAATAATTCCTGAGAGTTTCAGAACTCGCAAGGACTACTAGTAAAAAACAACCATTCCTTTGTTTGACATCGGGGAGCTAAAGAGGAGGGGGGCTTAAAAGAGAGGGTAGCTTAACAAAGAGGGCCCAAAAAGGTATGGGGGCCCAAAAAAGAGAGATGGCTAAACAGAGCTTTTAAAATAAGTGTTTTTTCCTTTCAATTCCTCGATGAAATGCATATAAATCATTCAAAATATTAGAATTCAGTTAATGAGTGAAACATAAATAATTTCAACTACTGAGTACAGAGACACACAAAACCAAATAAGTTCAGAATGTTTCTCTGAAACTTTTGTAAAAATATTTTGTAAAAATATTTCTCAAGCCCCTTACCACTCTCAGCAAAAAATTAAGCCAAGATAAACATTTTTTTTCGTTTTTGGCAATTATGGGCACACTATGGGCACACTGTGCTCGCTAGAGTCTCTGAATTGGTACAATCATTAGGTTATAACAATCTTTCAAATGAGGTTTTGATAGAACTTTTATTATATGGCGATAAAGACCTCCCAAATGACTTTAACAAAAATATAATCGATTTAACTCTCCAATACATTCACAGAACTGGTAGATTCGAATAAGGTCACTGTCTTCTTGCCACCAAGTCCCTTTTCACATAGTTTTGTGTGCCTACTTCTTTCTCTTTTTTTTGTTTCTCTTTATTTGATGACATGTTTCAGATAATTTGCAGAGCCCGGTCGTCCTTCCATCTAGCAGTTTTGGAGTCAATCTACATAAAAACGAAAAAGCCGCCATTGTGTAGACTAAAGGAGTTCGTTTTCTCTCTTGGACTCCATTGGTAATTTTTCTTTAGGCTCGCGGCACTGATTGGTCAACTATACCGGTCTTGTGCTTGCGTTTTTCTGATTGGCCTATTTCGATCCACAACTGGGTATATATTTTCCATCGTGTTTTTTCGGAACCTATTCTGACGTTTTATGCTCTGAGGAGTGTCAGACGAAAAAGCTTTTAGTATGTCGTAAAATGTTTGCTTTTTTCAAAGCCATTCTCTTTTTTTTCTTTTTTTGCCCATTTTGCATTTGACACTAGGTTTATCATAGTGTTAATGAATATCCATCTTGACTCCATACCAATTTTCTCAATAAATTACATATTAGGTATAAACCTCGAACATTATAACGTATTTTCCAATGACGTCCTATGTGAAGCGGGCTTAAGTATTTCTGGGCTCATTAATAATATTTTGCGCCTGCGAGCGCAAAGTCGAGTAAAAATGTGTCTCCAAGTAAAGTAGGGTGCAATTTATAGTCAGATACTGATAAATCGAGAACCGATGTTATGCTAAATTCTGTTACACCAACTTGCCTTCGTCAAAAGCAGATACCATATCAATATCATCATGAAATACATGTAACTACATGTAAAACTGAACAGATAACATAATAAATGCTACTAACGTTATATTGTGTACATAAGAAAGGGAATGATCCAGTTTTTATCTATGGGTTGTTTTGGGTTGTCAAGTAGCCCTATCGCTGTTATCGGTTCGATTTCATCAAATAGAGACATCTTCACGATTTCATCAAAGGCTTTTCGATATCTTAAACGCTTTACTTTAAATGGAGCAGTTCTATTTAGAATATCTTCTTTTAAGATCTGTGAATTTAAGGATTTTGCTTTCGCTTCCTTGGCAACGGTTGCAAGAATTTCGACATTACACTGGGTTTTTCTCATTTCGAAGAAAGATTCTATTCCCAATTACTTTCGTTGAAATGTCTTATTATAAAAAGTATCTTCTCCGTTTTTTAGCTTCGAGTTTATCATGCTTGTAAGATTTGATTATTTTAATATGAAAATGCTTTTACTCCAAAAATGGAAGAAATAGAGGCTTGTTTGGTTGTCACAAATTGTCGAAAATTTTTGTATTTGATGAATTATTTGGAGGTGCAGCATGAAATTTCAGAAATCGATAGCTACCAGATTTAAAAGCTTGAAGACTTTAACTTAAAGGAAGTGTCCTTTCTTCAGCCTACTATGAATGAATGAGATTAAAAAGTTATGGCATAATACTCTGAAAAAAATGATACAATAATTGCAAATGATCTCTTCCACCAAGAGATAATAGAGGAAAAGAGACAAACAATCAACTTGATTTTGAGAATCAAATGGCACCTTTAGAGTAAGGACCTTCTGTCATTTTGGTAATAAAGACTTGCAACTACTACCTTTTATATTCTATTTGACCATTTAATTTCAATACCAAGAAAGATGTTTGAAAAAGCATTACTCTAATACAACAAAGGTAAATAACAATAAATTTAGAAATGTGCCTGCAGAAATTCCTGAGAACGAGCTTTTGTGCCTGCGAGCGCCGCTCGCGCAGATTAATCAGGTCTGAAGTATTTACCGTATATGTATATGTTGTATTTTACTATGTATGTATTATTATAATCTAGTATATGTATATGTAGTATTAAAGTTGTATTATTAGTTACATTTAGATACATGTCATTTCCCAGGGGGCAGTCACGTTATATTGCTCCTCCTGGGTTCCGTCCTTGTAATGTAGTTTAGTAGTTCGTACTTACTGTTTTAGGTAATTTGTCGTGTAAGTTTTTATACCGAATATATATATATTTATATATATATCATAGAGTTGAAGAAAATAAGACTACATGGTTTATCTCTACAAGCCTGTTTCGTGAGTAACTCACTCTTCAGGAGATGTTGATATACTAGAATATTCCTCAAATAAATAGATAATACGGTACAGAAGGTATTACATAATGTGCGGTACATAAAGGGATTTAGGTGTTACATAATAGTGTTTTGTTTCTATGGCGGCAAGAGGATACAAGTTCGTTTCGTTTGTTGAGTGTTGAGTGTTGAGTGTTAATAATGCTACATGTTTAAACGAAGAGCTTACCTCTACGTGCCAAATCCAAAGCTCTGCACAGTCATCAGTGCCACAAACAATTAAATGCTTGTCATCCGGGCTCCATGATAAATACGACACTCCATGTGTATGCCTCTCTAGAGTGCGAAACTTCACTAACTTTTCATCCTGCGACAGAAATTGCAAGTTCTTTCAGACCTGCTTAATGAACCACAAAACGGTAAAGACCGTACACTAACTTCAACAAAATCAAAAGGTGAGGAAACCAAGGTTGATAAATCACAACAATTAACACTCCAGACATTCACGGCTAAATATACACTAAACTGCAGCAACCAAAGATGGGAGAGAGAAATTCCGTCCGTGATCTCAGATGAAGGTAATGCTGTAAGGGTGCATGGTTGCTGTAGGTATTACTTGGAAACGATAAAAAAGAAGCTGGGAGACAATAATAAAATTTATATACTGTCAGCTTGAATTTCACCTTAAGATGATAATATTGTTATTCACCTTAAACAAAATACTTTAGGGTTCTTAAGCCTGACGTCCCAAAAACAATATTCGACGTCCGTTAAATATGTCTAAAATTGGGTGAAATATGGCCAATGAAAGATCTGAAGTTTGCTAAAAGGTTACTACTATTTTTTCTCCGTTCATAAAGCCAAAGTGCCTTTACTCGTGTGGCCATAATCTCAACCAATTCGTAACATAGGTAACTGATTTTAAATATTTAGATGCATTTCATGATGCTCTTTCATGTTATTGTATCCAAATTCAAAAATCTCTACAATAGATTTTTATGAGACACCATCACATAAGAACCCTATTGTTTTGGTTTGAACAAAATCCTAAGTGCGAAAAAACGTTGACTGTGCCTTCTGCTTTGACATTAAATTACTGGAGCTTGAGATGGATTTCATTATTGTCTTTTCGGTTCAACATTGTATATCCTGTCTGTGATGTCATCGAAGGGACGATATAAGTTCTTGATCCTCAGCGTTCTGGCAGAAAAGCCATTTTGCTTTGGGAAAAAGGTTCAAACTTCTGACCCCCTTAGAAAAAGACGACGGCGTAACATCTTGAAATAGCGATTAAAAACTGAAGACAAGGAAAATAAAAAGTGACACGGTACCGCTTCTATGTTCCAGATGATGACTGTTTCATCTTTAGAGCCACTTGCCAGCCTTCTACCGTCATGAGAAAAGCGTATAAACATAACCTAGAAAAAGAGAAAACTCTGATCAAGTTAAAGATAGTTTTGAAATTATTTTGATAATATGATAAATATGATAATTTTGATAATATGATAATGATAAACTGAAATATTTTGATAAAGGAAAATTCTAAAATTACTACCGAGTTTTCATAATATAAATCGTCAAAAAAACAGAAAACAATCGGAAATCGATACCAAGGTTAGGCTGTTAACGAGTCCAAGTAGTAAAAGAACAGTTTCTGCCTCTATAGTTTAGGATTTTGCATCAATTTAACTAAACTTGACAAAAAATAACTAGCTAAATGATAAAGATAGAGGGAAAAATCTTACTCTGAATACGGGTACTTGGGAAATGATGTGTATTCTTTGGTAATTATACAAATATATAGTGGTCATATAAATTGAAAACAAGCTAATGATATAGACCTCTTACATGCAACGAAAAAAGAATAAATTACCTCATCGCAATGTATGGACAAGACTTGCCTTGTTTCACATGGAAAGTATTTGCTGTTGGAAATGATGAAAATGTTAGAAGGCGTCAATGGTGAAAATGTCTTGCATAACTAGACCAGCTTTTAAAAAGAAGGTTTAGGAAAAAGAATATTTTAAAAATAATGTTATCCCTGGCATGGCTACCATAACATTGTTTTGAAAACAAGACGTGACATCAATCGAAAATTCGTGTTTATGCTGCTAACTATGAAAATGACATAAACATAAACATTGCAAATCGATGTTGGTGGTTTGAAACCTTTGGCAGTGACTAGTAGGTGGTCAAAGCAATGATTCATAGAAATTAAAAAATATCAATGCCGTAGAAGAAGTATACATTTTAAAAGGGTTCAATTAAAATAGGGACCAAGGACCTGAAAATTACATGACAAATCATGAGGTAGCAAGACGAGAACGAAACGAGAACATAGTTTTGATATCTGAGATAATAATTGAAGACAGAAATGACAGCGGAGGAAGATGGCACGGGGTAGAAACATAGGATGGCAGAAGCGTGGGATGGAAGAAAAATAGGATGGCAGAAATGTAGGATGGCCGAAACATGAATGACAAAAAAAAAGATGGCAGAAACATAGGATGGCCGAAACATAAGATGACAAAAAAATAAGATGGCAGAAACATGGGATGGCCGAAACATAAGGTGACAAAAAAATATGATGGCAAAAACGTAGGATGGCCGAAACATAAGATGACAAAAAAATAAGATGGCAGAAACGTAGGATGGCCGAAACATAAGATGACAAAATATAAGATGGCAGAAACGTAGGATGGCCGAAACATAAGATGACAAAAAATAAGATGGCAGAAACGTAGGATGGCCGAAACATAAAATGACAAAAAAATAAGATGGCAAAAACGTAGGATGGCTGAAACATAAGATGACAAAAAAATAAGATGGCAGAAACGTAGGATGGCCGAAACATAAGATGACAAAAAATAAGATGGCAGAAACGTAGGATGGCCGAAACATAAAATGACAAAAAAATAAGATGGCAAAAACGTAGGATGGCTGAAACATAAGATGACAAAAAAATAAGATGGCAGAAACGTAGGATGGCCGAAACATAAGATGAAAAAATAAGATGGCAGAAACATAGGATGGCCGAAACATAAGATGACAAAAAAATAAGATGGCAAAAACGTAGGATGGCCGAAACATAAGATGACAAAGAAATAAGATGGCAGAAACATAGGATGGCCGAAACATAAGATGACAAAAAAATTAGATGGAAAAACGTAGGATGGCCGAAACATAAGATGACAAAAAAATAAGATGGCAGAAACATAAGATGGCCGAAACATAAGATGACAAAAAAATAAGATGGCAGAAACATAGGATGGCCGAAACATAAGATGACAAAAAAATAAGATGGCAGAAACATAGGATGGCAGAACATGTAGGATGGGATTGGGTGACGGGCAAAGAAGATAATGATTAAGGTAATGAGCAAAAAAGAAAACAAAGTACCTTTCACAATGGTGGTCGCTTAGCAGCGAGAATTCTGTTAGCTTTGCATCCATTGATGTATTATGGTATATACAATTTGACTTCTGTAATTCAATGGCTTGGCCAAGTAGCGATTCTAATCTTTTAGGTGGTAGTAATACTGAAGCTGGTAGAAAATCTGTAAGAGCAGCCAGAAGCTCGAATCAAAATATAACTAAATATCATTTTCACAATCGACTTATAAAATTTCCATTGTACATACATATGTGTTATGATAAAAAAGTTAGAATCTTTGCATACTCCCCTTCTATTATAACAATAATGACGTTATATTTAGGCTCTTGATAAACAATTTGAAATTTATCAAGTAACAGATTTTCAAGCATTCTTTTCAAGCTATTTCAAACGGTCCTCTCCTTTGCCTAGCTTGCTAGTTTATAATTTTTCTCTAACCGCTAATTTCACATCATTAGCTGGATATCCAATCCACACCTCTCTGACAAAAACAAATATTAATTTGAAAATCGCTTTAAGCCTTATCACTGCAATGAAAAAACATTATTTGCATGATTTAAAAGCAAATTTCATATCTACAGAGTTGCTTGAAGACACCAGATAAATGAAACAACAAGTTAATGGGAAGAAACTCATGAATTTTGAATCTTATCTTGGTGAGAATGGTTGAAATTACAAGTGGAATTACAAATCAATATGGAAGAAAGAATGCGCTAAAAGTGGAATTTACTGTTCCTTGAATTTGGATGTGGTTTAAATGTGGCAAGTGGTAGATGTAGTTTAAAATCAAGAAAATGTATACCTAAAGAGCAGTTTCTTTATCAAATACTGAATAACATCCTGCTCAATGTTTGAATAAAAACAAAATAGGAGAGAGTAATCCATCTGGTCCATTCAGTGTAACATCAAGGCAGATAATGAGAGGAATAAACCTGCTTTCTATTCATTTGTCACTACTAATAAAAGCATACTTTGTCACTACCCTATACAAATTGGGAGAGAACTCTAATTACTCGTTTAATAGCACATTTATAAACAAAAATCCCAAATCAACACTGAGATTTGCAAAGTGTGACATGTTTCTAAACAGCTGAATTTCCTGGACATAATTAATTACGCAAACTCCTGCTGAGTAATGCAAGTGTAACAATGTACAATACATGATAAGCAATATTCTCAGAATGGTTTAAACAGAAGTGGCTAGCTACAAAGTGTGTATACCTTGTAATTTTGTAAATAACTTTTGTCTAGTTGAATTGCCTTTTCCTTCCCACTTTGCTTTTGTGTGAAGCTCATCTGAGCTACTACACATAAGTAAGCTGAAAAAACAATGCAAATATTCTCATGATAGAGCATAAAGGGGTGAGGAAAAAGTACACATAGACATACCAAGTTGAAGTTATTATAACCGGATATATAATGCTGAAGACAAGCATAAGCATTCTGTGCCTCTTAGGACTCTCAAAGATTTAAATTAAGGTATACTGGTACCCCTAACTCATAAGCTTTTCTGGAAGGTAAACATATTGAATTGCCTATAACTCAGTCAGATGTTCTATTTTTCCCTCTAGAGTTTTACAGACATGAACCAACATGCTGCCTGGTTAAAAACTGTTTTCATGCTTTAAGTCTACAGAAATGGTGAGAAATACCTTTAACAGGACTTTAGGTTTGTAGGAGGCAGTCCAAATCATTTAACATTACAAACTTGCAAATAAATTAAGAATCCTGGATTTGAAAGCCTAGTTTCATTTTACTCCAATAACCATGAAACCAGCAGCTGATATCTATAGTAAAAAAACTTATCAAGAAAACAATTTTTGCAACATCATCCCTTTCAATCTATATATGGTTTTGTGCTAAAACTATTAATCTAAATTTGACAAAAATAGGGCTCCAGTTTTGTTGTATTTCAAACTTTTGGAATATGTTGAGTTCTACCTAATTAGCTGTTAAATTTAGCAACCTGGTAAATTTTAGGGGAACCCTGCATGCTTATTACCTTGTAAATGTTGTTCTCTTTAAATAAGAAACTTTAATCAAACCTACACTTGAAATATCCTTTTGTTATGCAAAAGGTCAAAAGTGAAAAGTCCTTCCAAACTTGCCTGCTCAATTCATGAAGCTTTGCCTGATTTGATTGCAATGGTGTTATTTCTACTCTTAAGCAATGCAAAGCTTCAATAACTCTCCCATCTTCTAGTAACTCCAGGTACTTTTGTTCCAAAATCAAACATTTCATTTGCTACAAGTTAAATATTTTGCCATCATCAGAATGGTGTCTGTAACATCGTCACTTGAGGATGAGATATTCTTTCAAATACAAAAGACTAAAAACATTTAAGTATATTTTTACTGTACAGTCTCTGCTAAAACTAGCTATGTTTAACTGTTAACAACAAAACACTTATTTTTCCCACAAATAACGAGCTCAAATTGATTGAAAAGGTTATTCGTGTGATTTTAATGGGTGCTTATTGACTTTTGATTTATATAATAATATATTTTCAACAGCAAGGCCTTATATAAAACATGGTGTGTATAAAACATAAACTACAATTAAAATGAATGTTAAGGGTCTAATAAAATGGTTACTTTTCATTATAACAACTTTGCAAAATTGGTTTAGTTCAAATAAAGTACAAAGATTTCAGGGATTTTTGGCAGGTAATCATCTTTTGTAAACATTATTTCGATAGGATTAGAAAAAAGCTTAAAAACTTATGATACTCACGTTATAACTATTACTGTCATCTAAAACTGGCTGAAGCTCCTTCAGTACAAATTCTACCTGTAATTATAAAACAAAATTTGATGCAGTTGTCAATTGGAATCACAAAATCATGTAAAATAAAGAAAGATTCAAATTTACCTAAAGTATGTATGTTAATTGTTATTGAAATGAAACAACATTTCAGTCTTCTTTAAAGTATAATTTTGCAATTTTGGCCAGCAATACCTTGTCCCAATCACCATTCAGAATGTTCTCTCTAAAAGTTGAAGCAGCGGGATTCTCCAACTTACAACCTGTTTCTCTCATCAGAGCACTAACAGTTTTCCTACAAAGAAAATCCACTAAATTAACAACTAGAAAACCAACATGACATTTGTTATTACTTTAACTTTTCAATAATCAAAAGGCTAACTATAGGAAGAAAAACAACAGAATGGCTGTGCCATTGTGATTTTCTAGCATTGAATATGGGTGCATTGAAAATTTGTCATTTGTTACCAGTACCACTTGTTTTTGGAGATGGAGATTTAACATTAATGAGAAGAGTCAGGAAAAATGAAGATGTAAAGAAGAAATGGAAATAAACAACAAAGAAGAAGAAAATTCTAAAATATGCGTGGCCAAATTCCCAAACTTAAAGTTTGATTGTTTGATAGGATAAAAACAAAACATCAACAAACATTTGCAGTTTCAATGACTATGATTCAACGCAAATGATATATAGATAAAAAATTGTCATTAATTTTCTATACAGGTTGTGCAAATGTGCTCATTCAAATAAAAGGAACAAATTTTTTTACAGATTTTGCAAGGCCACAATTCTTATAGCTAGGATACAAAAATAAGAACACTAAAATGTCTAATAGTACTAAAATAGAGTTTTTGTCACACTAGAAATTACTATAATTTATCTGAATGCTCTTCAATTTGCTCTTGGATTATTTACAATCAAAATTTTGGCAGGGTGGTAAAATGGGTGGTGAATGTCTTCCATATTTGTACCAGGAGGGTGCTTTTGCAAAATGTAAAATTTTTCAAAAGAACACTTTTCGTTCAAAAGAAATCGTTTACAAAAAACTGTGCAAATTAGAAAGAGAATATTCAAGGCAAGAGGTATAAAAAATTTGCAGATAAATATTCCAAATTTGCAGAAGAGATATCAAAAACTATTTTGAAAAGAATTCCTGGCCTTGGGATGTAGAATGTCGCCAGGATTTCTTTTCAAACAGATGAGCTGTGGTGGCGAGAGCATGGGTGCTTGGGCACATGCAGAAAATTGTGTGCCTCAATTGGCCAGGCCTGACTTTTAGTATTTTTTTTGTTAAACTTAAAAAAACATTTTTTGTCCTCTCATTCCCTACAAAGAGGACATTACAACTATGCTTCAAAATTGTGAAAATGTTCTGGTCCTTATAAACTATCATTCTATAAGAGCATTTATTTGACTAGCAACACCAAAACCCAAATACTAAATTACATTCATCAAGATTAGAACAGTTAAATTTACAGGAACATAAAATTTTTCAAAATTTTGGGTCTGCTTTTGGACAATCATTTACCCTGGACTATCACCAGAATGAATTATCAAAGAAATTAGTTAGATTATAAGGAATTTTTAGGAACAGGGATGCTTTTGATCATGTAAGAAAGGAGGTTTATCTGTTGAAATCAATTCTATTTTGTCTGCAAAAATTGTATTCTACATCAAACCTCAATTTCTGCTGAGAAATCATTTTCATGATGCAGAGAAAAAAACAATCCAGCTATATAATTTGAGCCTGCTTTATCACCTTTCTCCGATATTCAATGCATTACTCAATGATTACGATGAAATACTTAAAGCTTTCAGAAATATATATTGAAGCTGTGCAAAACTCATAAAATATGTCTTTGAATCAATTCAATTTGCTTAACTGTTTCAAAAATTTATTGCTTGATTTTTTTGTCTGTATTTTGTAAGGCAAACTAGCAGGGGTAACTAGTATTTGGACAACTTTAGTAATCTAACCTGTTCATACGGAATTAACAAAAGGCGAGATTCGGCCTAGGCTCCTTAGACTTCAAATGTAAACAGAACAAAACAAAACTCTCAGAAATTAGATAACCTATACAAAATAAACTAAATACATGCTGGCAGCTTGACAACCAAAAAAGATTTATGAACGGTTGAAGCCAACGAAACAATTAACTTTTTAGCAATAACAGGTTCAATACATATCACAACCGACCGATCACGAACCCCTTTGGTATTTTAATGCTCGTCAGCTGATATTTAATGCTACATTAAATTTCAGGCCCCTCATGGATACGTCACCACAAGTGTTGTTGTTTTTCTTCTGTTTTCTTTATTGGGAAAGATTTTAGTTTGGTAGAAAACAGAAAGGAAAACAAAATAGATACTAACTGTAAACCCATATTTTGAAGATGTTGCCCAATCAGCCGAATGACTTCTCCGTCAAACCTACTAAGTTTACGCTTGAGAACAACTGAGCTTCCTTCCACCGCCACTTCGTCACCGCCACCATTTGCAATCAATTTTCCACAAGGTAAATCACCATTCGTGGCTTGTTCTTTCTCACCTCCAGCCTGAGTTACGCGGACTTCGTCGTGCATAACAGTTGTTTCTTTCGTTTTAGAAGCTGGCAATGCAAACAGGTCTGAAGTGACCGATTCCGTAAGGCGAGCTTTCTTTTGTGGTGGCGGTGACTCTCCACCGTTGTCTTCGTCGGATGATTCCAGGGCGGCTTCTGCGGCCTGCAGATCCTCTAAACTCCAAAAAAGAGAAATTTTGCTTAGAAAATAGCCTTCAAAATGCAGCAGCCAGCCCAATATCACCGTTCCCTTTTGACTTCATTTGCACACACACGCCACTTCCTAACTTCTTTCTCTCCTTGTTGATAATAGAAAAATTTTGGCCTACGAGTCTACGAGCCGCGCATGACGTCACAGTAAAGAAGAATTGCCCACAAAACATTGAGTTTACACAATTTGGTATACAGGATTTCAAACCCTTTACTACTTCTCTAAGTTTGTTTATCTATCACACTTTAAACTTGAAAAAGTGAGTTGCAACGTTTGCGTCTAATAATTTACCTATGCAAAGCAGGGCTCGAGTGGACAGCCTTGTTTACAAAATGAAACGTGGGTCTTCAACCTTGGCAATTGTTGGCAAAATGTTCGAGAGGTTATCTCAAAATTTGAAGTTTACCTATATTATAAAATTTTTAATTGAGATGCGAGGATCACATCCAATTTAGTGATTTCGTCAACATCACCAACGTTCTTTAGTTCTTCTCTTTATCTAACTAGACTTACTGAACACTCGTCTGCCCTCATTGACCATATATTTTCGAATATTCTTATTCAAATATATTCTAGAAATTAAGTAATATATTTAGTTGAAATATTTTTACTCAAGTTACTGATCATTTCCACCAGTTCTGTATGACTAGCGAACAAACAATCGTCTTATTATGTATGTGAACGACTGAAAATTACTGTTTACCAATCGGTCATAAAGTGCTCGATGCCGTGAAGGGATGATGGCAGTCAGCATGAAAATGGGAGTAGCAACCTAGAACCGTCCTGTTCTTTACACCGAATAGCGCATGTCAGCGAACAAATGGATTTTGACTTCTCTTTTCTAGAGACCTATGACAACAATTTTAAAAATTACTTATTTTTTATATGTGTTGGCCAGCCAGTGAATGTGTTTGTCCTTTGCTCTTGTTATCTAAAGCAATGACCTTCCAAACCTGTGCGCCTAAATCTCTTTCTTCTTCAGTTTCGATAGACTAATAAATATGACAAGTAAGGAACTTGAAGGAGGAAAGGCCTGACTGGAATCAAACAAACGGCCTCTTAACATTGAAAATGCTAACTTTGTAATCTTTTACTCTCCCAGAAAGTAGTTCAAAGTTGATCTCTCAGCAAAATTTGGCGAAAAAGTAGTCAAAGAGTGAACTATGTAAACGGTCGAGAATCGTTTGTGGAAATATCATATTACTGAATTAACCAAAAATAAACTAACTCAAAACCTTTTCTAAATTCTTTGAGGTTAAACTATGACCCACCATAATGCAATTTTTGTCTCAACTATGGAATAATGTTATCGGGTTTATTGTATCAAACTGATCCAAACGCCTTTCTCTTCTGCAAAAAGAAAGTGTCGAGATGCATATCTTTCCAACCGTACCACTATTCTTTGCTAAAATACACAGTTATTGCGGTAATAGAAAAGATTGTAAGTACCTTACTGGTATCTAGAAAAATTTTCTCTGAGCTCAGGACCCTAGGTATAGCTCAACTGAATAACGGGATGTGGAGATTTTTGAGTGGTGGGCCAGTGCAATAAGGCTGTCATCCTCTTTTCAAGCTTTCCGTAAATTAACCTTTCAGCCAGTACGTCTTAGAATGGATGATCAGTTAATCCTGTGGATAGCAGTTCAAGTAAACATTTTAAAAACCTCAAATTTGAAAAACAATGATCTACAGTCACAAAAGCCACTGCAAGTAAGCTGGAAATATCCAATAAATGACGTCATTCCAAATTGGCGAAGATGAGTGCAGTAAGGCTTATCAATTTGGCACAGGTTTGAGCGGTTATTAGTGTCAATGCTCCTAAGTATAACTACTCCTTCGGGTTTATTATAGGTTTGCCGTCTGCCTGGACCCTATTTCTACATGCGGACTAAGGATTTTGCGATAGGCCGCGGCGGATTGCAGCTTCAGCATAAGACGTGTCTTGCGTCTTTCGGTGCAAATTGGCAACGGTTTACAGCTTTTAGGACGTATATGGTTTGTTCCAACGTAACGTGAAATAAAATGAGAACCATAAGAACTTTCTATAAAGTCACTTTTAGCAATGTCCCCCTTTCTAGCGACAATTTCGCCTTCTATGCAACGGAACGCAGGGATGGATTTAACCAACAAGGACTGAAGGGGTTTTAGACACTTCTTGGATTTTGGTACCATATGCTTCAGATCACTGGAAAATGACGAAAACGCCCATTTTCAAAATTCGGCTTTTTAACTTCAAGGTAAAGAAGATAGAAGATCAGTAAAGTAAAATCTTGGTGTTAATTTTTTTACTATTGACTACCAAAAATGATTTTTCCCGAATGGAAGCAAAATTTACAAGAGGGCATTGTTCTTAACATGACGTCACTGTCGGCAAAAACAAAAAGCAAAGGGATGCATCAGAATAAAGAAAGTATGCTTTTTTTACTCTGATGAAGCCCTGTATGCCGGGGCGAAATTTTGGTATTCGTTAAATTTAATTTATTTTAAAATTCTAGCTTATTACATTGGATTCTCGGATCACACTGCTTTGTTCCTTTCTTTCTTTCTTGTGCATAGTATGTTACATTTAGGAAACCATACAAAATAACGAGCGTTCAGATTAGGCATGTTTGCAGGACAATGACGCAAGCAAAACTGTCAAAACATTCGTCGTAGAATTTTTGCGCAAATTTCATTACCTCGCTTTGGTGTAGTGCAAGAAGTACCCCACTAGTTTGTATGTTAAAAGATCCCCTGCCACAAAAACAAGCAAAGTTGCCGACAAATAACACAATTTGCCGACAAAAGCGTGTCATAACTGATAATTTAGCAAAATCTGGGAGGCACTTGCGTTTTGGTGTTCCTTATAAACAAAAATGGCCTTACTGCGCACCTGTGAGAGCGCCTGAGCATTCGCACGATGCTGTGTTTGAAAGAGGTTGAGAGATTTTACTTCGCGTTGTCTTAAGTCTTTTTCGCTGTGTTGTGTTTTGCGTTGCAGGCTTCCTCGATGCATAAACAGATTGTAAAATATTGCCATTTTACAAAGTTTGTTTAACTGGGAATTTTGCTGTAGGGAAAACAACAATTTTCAACCAAATTCGATGCATGCCTAATAAAATGATCGCTGAAATTCAGGAGCACCATCATAATGTCTCTATGGTAGGAAGAAACTCCTCCGGTGAGGTCGAGCAGCAACAAATTACAGTAAGTCTGTCATTTAATTATCAATTATTAAAGAGTGTATTTAAAAGTTGCAAGGTTGTAATAAAAGGCTGTCTTTTCTATATTTGTGTTGGGTTTTTAAACCACCACATACGTGTTTTTAGTCGAAAAAAGGGTTGCGAAGGCACACGGAAGATGCTCCATGACTTGCTCCATGACTTGCTCCATGACCTGATTTAAGCACTTAATGTTTCATGAAGATCAGTGTCACTGGACACTAGACCTGTATTAGGCATAGAGCAGGCACATGCAGGGTGAATGTGAATTGGATAAACCCGTAATTCAAAATGGTTTATGAGTTAACAGCTAGTTCAAATAAACAAAGTAAATTGCTAATCAGGCACAATAATTTAGGCATGATTAACTATACGTTTAGCATGCATGTTATGTTCAGAGATGCCGTAAGAGCTGCAGAGCACGGGGAGACGGGGGGGGGGGCGTAGTGCTAGGGAAAAAGCAAAATAATAGCCAAAAATAAAATTGCTTATGTTTGCAAAAGCAAGTGGGGTAGCTCTCTCGCCCCCGTGCTCCGGTGTCACTTGTTAAATTTTTAGCTATAAAAGACAAAAATCAGTCGAAGGGAAATTATAGAATTGCATGGAAGGATAAGGAGAGGTCAAAAAAGGAATAGAGTCACAAGTTTGGCTTGTTTTAATATATTCTAATTGGTTTTGGAACATGTTAATGAAGACTTATACACAAACCCACTGAAAAGTAAGAGAATAGCATCCTCAGCATACATGAATCTTTAATAATAAGAGCAGCTCTTGCATTTTTACAAGAATCGGGGAATTTCTAGTTTCCAAAGAAGTACTGCATGTCAGTAGAGAGACTTTGCTTTAAGACAACGCAAATTTTAAAATGAAACTTGAAATGTTATCATTACCAATCCAGTTTGCATTTTTAGTCTCAAAACTGCATCTTTGAGATCCTGTTCATGCAAGAAACCTGGATAGCAAGAAAACCGAATATCTGCTAAATGCTTGTTTGAAGCCAATGACATCATAAATAATTTCTTAGTTTTCTCAAAGGGATGTTTTCTGGCAACGATATGGGCGTGGTCACCAAAAGCTACTCTTAGGCTTTTTTCACAGCTAGGCTCGCTCGACCCAATTTTACCCCCCATCCCACTGCTTTAAGGACTCCAACCTCAAAGCCACTCAGCGAGCGCACCAACACTCTCCTATCATCTGTACCAATAACATGGTACAAAGTTCACTTTTTATGAAAAGATGGGAAATGGGAATCGGTACAGATTCGAGCTGCTCAAGCGTTTTGAAAGGGTTCTCAAGACAAACTCGTATCAAATATGCCAATCAAGACAAACTTTGTAATATAACTGCCTTTCTATATGCTTGGGAATTTATCATTATCTATATTCGGAGCGACTGTTGTAAAAACTTTTCTGTTTACAATTTATACTTGCGCGAGACTACTAAGGAAATGCGCAGGCGGCCTAGAGACTATAATTTGAATGGTTCCTAGCAAATAAATTAAGCTTGACAGGGAAAGTTTATGTAACTGGAACAAAAGCAAGTCTCCCCGAACCCTTATTCAAATCTGACACCCAACCCTAAAAGTTAAACCTTTTTATCGGAAAACTTTCAATATAAAATGACAGAGGTTTTTGCAAAGCGTTTATTGTTAGTCTTTAATTCATGCGTGTGAATTCTCCCTTGGTATTTAATTTGTGACATTAAGAACTATGGAGAATTTTTGCTGGAGAATTATGAAGTTGCTACTCCAGTTTTGATTACGATATACAGAATCGCACTGGCGACGTGCGGTTATGCCTCGGCAAGGTTTGAATGCCTCGTTCATCTTTGCCGTACATTGATGCCCCAAGAAGGCGACGTAGCATACCATCTCGTCAGAGTGCCTTGACTCGCCTTTTTTGAATAAAAC